AAACGCCAGCAACCGTAGTCTCTAAACATTGCAATACAGGCAAGAATAATGCAGTTAAGCATAACGGTAGCGTGTCAGTTTTCTCTGAAATTTGTTGCTAAAATGAACGTAGAACTTTGCGAAAAGCAAAGTGAATTTCCCAGGTCGTGATCATTCAAGTAGATTTTTGACATCATTCATACACTGTTGCTTTCTAAAATCAATTCCTCTACTGCATTCGTCTTCTTTATCTGTTCAGAGGGTAGAGGGTTTCTAAATTTTCATCATGCTTTCTTTAGAGAGATACTGGTGCTGCCCTCAGAATGGGACGTGTTTTAGCGCAGAAAGCAGGCCGCCGTCGTCGTTCAGCGTTGCGATCACCGCTTTGGTTCGGTATAACTGGACAGTGATCGATTGCATCAACTACGTCATTCGGCCCATTATGCCATATATGAATGGGTAGCTCTGTGATTTCAGTACGATGCCGTTGTCAAACTTGTTAATTCTTACCGCAATTTCATTGTACTGACTGTGCAAGTTTTTAGGTCAGTGCGGAGTGCTGAGTCCTGCAGCCGCAGGTTTGAATTTATATAACTAGCAGATGTTCATTTACATTAATTACTTGACTTTATTCTTCATGTTGCCGATCAATGGAAAGCTCTCCGAGAGTACTATGCAAAGCTGATATCAAACTTCTGAATGTCAACGATTTCTATTATATTTTATTATTCCACCGTGATGACTGTGCGAGTAGCTAAGTCAGCGCAAGGTCAGTTAATCAGGAATCAGAGTTTATACAATCAGTAGATGTGTCAATTACATGATTTGATTTCTAAAACTGAAATTGTTAAACGAAGGTGCAAACTCTGAAACTGACGCTTATAACAAAAATTTTACACTGGGCTAGCAAAGAGCTTCCAATTGATGTAAAACGCGAGGGAGCAAATTGATAAAGATGACCATCTGTAAATTGCATAAACTTGGATTCTTCACCGGGTGACCTTTTGCAATCACCATGATGAAATCATGAAATAAAATGAAAATCACACATACTGATAACTGATAAATATACACAAATGGTTTATTTATACCCAACGCAACCAAAGTGGTCGATCGGGTGATCGATCATTACGGACTCAGGATTAAATAATTTCTGCCAAAATGTCAAGCGGGACAAAGGCTACGAACTTTGCACAGGTTTGGCAAACCACTGTTAACGAAAAACTACTTAACCGGTAGCATGGGTCAGAAGCACACCTTTCGGCTTCAAAAGTCACAACAGCTGCGGACAACAAAACTAACTGCGGAAATCAACCCGGACCACCCTGAAAGAAGGTCCACGAGAGATGAGCCGAAACGTCCGAACTGATCAATCACCTGACTGACCAATTTGCTTGTTATGCATAAATAAACCGTTACTATACATTTTTTAGTTTTCAGCATGATCACCAACCCACGAGCAAAATGCTCAACCTTCGGATCATAGATATTCACCAGTTTGACAACGATATCGCACAGTACTTGCACTGTGTTCCATCGGTCCTACTTAAGTCTATGTTGTGAATAGAGGACAATCGCCTCAATATCAAGTTGTCTCAAGCGGCTGTGGGCGCCGGGAAGATCTGTGTAAACCCCGTAACGTTCGTACCACGAAGCAATGACATCCTACAATTGAAAGATCTCTTGCAGATCGACTAGATATAACGAAGGTATCATGATTATCAGTTAAAGCGAAAAGAGTAAGGGCCGTACAATGGAGAAAAGAGAATAACCCCATAACAACTACAAACATACAAGAACATTTAATACGGTTTGAAATAATGTGAAATTTATGTCCTTCGCCGTCTAAACAGAGAACACCGAATGTTTTAGTGAAAGCCACTGTCAAG